AACAAGGAGGTGGTCTTAATGTTATGCCTGATCGGTGTAGCTAATGTAGCAAACAAGTAATGGAGGCTTATGTACACCATGAGCATTATACAAGCTGCATGTCAAGTTGTTAATCTCTAATAGACTTGCTGATGATCTATCATATATTGTTATCTATAAAAATAGACAAAAGTATGCTGCATTACTATAAACAGTAGCAGTCACCACCTTGAAGCCTAAATATTGCTACTGTCAATATGCTTTACAGCCAGAGCATTTCTGACTGATTTTGAATGGACGAAAGCACCTTTGCCCCTAGTTGTACTGTGAAGGGTCAGTGGGCTGAATATGGCTTGTACTTAATTGCTGAAAATGCCCTGTTAAGACTAGCAGAGTGCCATTCGGTATACGGCCCCAACCCCCCCAACAGGCATCACCAAGCTACTCCCCTCTTCGTCCTCGCTCTTCCACGCTCTACCTCTTCTTCCTCAGAACCCCTGGAGGAGCACCAGGTAGCCCAGCTGCTGAGGCGCTTCTCCACTGATCTCAATATCAGCCACTCGCTCTTTTTGGACAGTGCTCTGGCCCATCACCTCCACCAGTGCTCCTACCACCTGCGCCTCTTCCGCAACTGGTTAATCTCCGGCCAGGACCCCCTAGAGTACCTCTACGGTCAGCCAGTCCTGCCGCTACAGCGCCTCTCTACTGTGTAGGGCTGCACGATAAAGGCTAAACGTAATTAAAAATAATTGGGAACTGTTTTGCTCAACAATTATTTATCACCACACTTTATCATTTTAAATCAACAGGTAAAAAAAACGTATCTTTCGCATTGAACATTACAAAACTATATCACTTCAGATGTGCACATTTTATAATCAAAATAAGACTGTCACATTAACAAACTAAATGCCAGACAAAAAAAAACAATAATTAAATAAATAAACACGCCAAAGAAGTGACTTTCTAATTAGGGATGGGCGATATGGCAAAAGTACATCATGGTAAGGGATACACAGGCGGAATCAGTAGATTTTTGCTCAAAGTGTGAAATCAGCAATCAGCCAATTTATTATTTTTACCTTGGAAGATCTGTGTTGCAAATTTGGTACATAAATAATATGATCCTCACACTGTATTTGAGCGCAGCTGCTACACCTTTACTAAAATATCATACCATAATTTTGCATGACTTATGCTAAATAGACAGTTGTCTTTTACTTTCAATTAAGTAATCTGTTTAATCCGTGCTATTTAAAAAGGCAACTGATTTAAAGTTGTTTATATCAAAAAAATAGTAAAAATCAGCCAAAAAACACACCATTAATCAGTTTAGTTGTAATGAAAACTAAAATTTAATGGCTGATGTGAGCCTAATAAGTATTGATAAGACATTTGTATCACAATAGCAATAAATATTGTCATATTGCCCACCCCTATTTTAACAGAAAAGACAGTTACATTATTCACACAGGTTGCCAGTTCAGTCCTCTCAACACAGATATGATTTAATGCACCAAAACCATTTTAATGGTAGCCTGTTAGCTGATTTTAACTAAACTTATCAGATTAGCAGCCAGTCATGTTTAATTAATTGACAAAGCCAAATTTGTGATCACAATTAAACCCCAATTAATTGTGCAGCCCTGCTAGTGTACCCTGCCCTGGCCTGCCTTGCCCTGTGTTGCTGCTCTGTGCTTGCAGTGGCGTGCGGCTTGCTGCCACAGCCGTCCCTGCTTGTGTGGAGCATGTAATGCCTGCGTTTCTCTTTTTCAGCCGTGATCATTGAATAACGTAGCTTAACGTAGTAAAAAGTAACATCAACGATTATTTGTGGCTGAGCTTACAGAACTAGACAGTGTTTGGTTTGGATGTAGTTCTGCTGCTGCATGTTAATGGCATTTGAAAGCTCACTGAGTTACATTCAGCATTACGCCAGTTTACACTTCAGTGTTTGAGCTGAATCACATGCTACCTGTGATCAAATACTGAGCCTAACAGATGTATCTACCTGGCGGATAATTGTAGTTCAGTTCAGAGGAAGGTGGCGTCATTGTTGTTTTTGTTATTCGGTTTAGTTTGTGATTTGTAGATGCAAATTCCCTCTTGTGTTAATGATTTAGGTGGGATTTTTCTTCTGGAACAGGGGACAGTAATTGATTAAACCTTTTGAAATCTTATTAACAGGGTTAGTAAATTGCTGCTTTCGGACCAAAACCTCATATCTCCAAAATGATAACTTTTCAGGAGAAGGAAAAAACCTACTTTACTTTTAATGTAAGTCAATGGAACCAGACTTTTTTCCAAGTAATTTTGGACCATTTGTTTTGGTCCATTCATCTTGAAATGTAAACACAATATAAAGGACAGTAGGTTTTTTCAAATAATGTCAAAAACTGAAAAATGATGAAAATGGAGATATGAGGTTTTGGTCTGACAGCAGCGAAATACATGTGATATAATATAATCTAAGTTCACCCAAGTTAGATTTCAGTCAAGTAATGAATTTATAACTTAGCCAAAACTTAAACTACTGTACTTTTTTCCTCTATTAGAATGCAGGTTCACCCAGTCTGGCTACCTCTCTATCATTACAAGCATATACACACTTAAAAAAGTGGTTCTTCAGGTTTTATTTAGTAAAGAAAATGGTTCTGTGTAGAACCATGAACACTCAAAGAACCATCATTTTAAGTGTGTAGTTTAAAGTCCCAGGGAACACAGAGCAATAGTGATACTAAAGTGATACTTTGTTGTTATATTAATCATCCAGTAATGTTTGAATGAAAAAAAGACATAAATATGATAAAACACTGTTGTACCACTGATCAAACCTATCTGAGAACTGTCTGGGTGTGGTTCTAATATTCTAATGAGCATGCTTGATTGACATCTGTCAGTCCAACATTTGCACTGAAGCGGAACTAAGCAGAGAGAAATGAGTTAAATATTCTCTATGTACACAGGTGGTGTTGTAGATTACCACACTGTGTCAATGGCTCACTAAAATGGGTTCATATCCACCCGACTAGTTATGATTCGAACAGAGAGAGAGACATTAGGGGGACACAGTTTTGTTAGAGCTGTGGGGTGGTGAGGGTTAAGCTTACCCAAAATTATGACAGCCTGGGTTACATTGAAAGGGGAGAACTGTAGCTGTCATTTATTGGGCACGTTATTCAAAGGACATATTTTAGTTGTATTTTATGTGCCCACAAGAGGGATATTAACTTAATTAGAAAAAATTATTAGGTTTAAGCGTCCCTGGGGCTTTAAATGTGACCCATTTTCTGTCCCTTACAGTATGACAATGAATCTGAGATCCACTTTATTTTTGCGTTCTAAAGCACATTTTCACTTTCTGGTGTGCTGAAATCTGGTACAAAGTTCTCATAAGACAAAGTTGTCGAGCTACAGCTTAGAATTGAATAAGTGAGTCTGTATGCCTGGTTTTTGTGTGTTTTGGTGTGATTTCGTTCTAATCTTGCCCATTACTTTTTAACCTTGTAAATGTGCTTTGATTCAAAACAGGCTCAGAATAAGTGTTTGTTTATCTGGACTAGAGCTGTCACGATTAGTGATTAGTTGGTTTGTCTGCTTTCTCTGGCAATAATGAACAGTGTCTAATGTTTTAATCCATTGTATTGACCTAGGACAGGGGTTGGCAACATGCGGCTCTTTTACTGCCCTGTTGCGGCTTTCTTTTTTTTTTTTAAGCTAAAAATAAAATAATCCTCCTTTGCAGTAAAATAAAGCTCTGCTGATCATTCTAACACAGTTTTAACAATAAATGGTCACTGGAGTTAAAGTAGTCCTATAACTGCTAATTCACCCTTTAATTCTGAAGGTTGGCGCGCAGACTGCTGGTCACCATAGCAACGCAGACAACAGTCTGGCCTAGTTAGTAGCTAAAGAAACAGCAAAGAGAAAGATTTAAGACAGACATCGATGATTTAGAGACAAATGGACTTATTTGCATTTATAATCACTCCAGCTGGTTTCCTGATACGTTTAATCTCCAACAGGAAACTGTCAAACACTAAAAAGTGTCTAAAAGTCAGCAGCTTGTTTGAATTATCCCATTCCATCTTAAATGTTGCAGCAGTTACATTCTGGCGCCTCAAGCACCGCTTAAGGTGGAACGGGAAAATTTGAACCAGAAGCTGGCAAATGAGAATTTGACTTCAGCCTAGTAAAAAGTCGAATGCTCAGAGACATTTTACAAGAAACTGTTTAACTTTTGCAGACAGGTTTCCTGCCGGAGATGTAAGAAAAGTGGCTATAAGTTAGCTGACCTAAAGCTTAAGGCAGAACAACAGAACTGTATTTTTGTTTATATTATATTTTTAGCCTATACTAGTACATTAGCACATGCTAGGACATATTTACAGCCAAGATGGTAAAACGGACATAAAATATTGTGCCTCCCAGGTGGTTTGATTTTTGTTGAAAGGACAAAATGGCTCTTCTTAACATTTGGGTTGCCGACCCCTGACCTAGGATCTATTTATGTGTTTTTTTCTATTTTAAAGGCTTTCTAGTTTATCTTTTTTTCACTGAAATATTTGTAAATTTTTGAAAGGCTCTTGTTATTCAGTGAAATCCTTTTTTGTTGGTTGGACTTTTTTAACCTTGATTAATTCTTTAAATAATCGTTAGATTACTCGATTAATAATATAAATAATCGTGACAGCGCTAGTATGGACTAGTCTACATAGACTGGTTTGTGCCATGTGGCAGAAACAGTCTGCTAAATGCAGAGTGAAAATGAAGTTCATTGGAATTAGATTGTGCTTGGATCTGTGCCATTGCTTGGTTTTAGATAGCATCACACGGTTAGCTGATGATTTGGTGCGTGTGTGTGTGTGTGTGTGTGTGTGTGTGTATCCTGACCTTGCCTGTGGTTCTCTAACTAACCAGGATGTGGTGGAATGTTGGATGCCTGTGGTCCGTGGTGGTGTATGCTCTAACTGATAGCAGGGTGGGGCCACTGTCTGCTCTTGTGTCTCTCTGGTGTGTAGGCTTTGAAGGCTGCTCCATGGTGCCCTCTATCTACCCGCTGGAAACACTGCACAACTCCCTTTCGCTTAAACAGGTGGACAAGTTCCTGACGACAGTGTGCGAGAACGCAGAGGATTTGCACAGCAGGACCACCAGAGGTGAGGCTCGTGTTTAGCTAGCATCCATCCACACTCCACTCACTCTATACACCTCTTAGCCAAGAGTGTTCAGTATGGCAGAAATCTTCATGATACACAGTATGTACCCTCACCGTCCACTTTACTACCTTGTACTTTGCCTCAATGGTCATTTTATTAGAAACACCTCCACTATGTATGTATGTAGTTGTTCAATTACAGACTGTAGTGCATATGTTACATACTATTTATCAGCCCCCCTCTATCCCATTCATGATTGGTCAGTTTCTGACCTCAGGACCTCTGTTAACCAGGTATTTTTTGGGTGCTGGACCATTTTCAGCACAGCAGTAACACAACGGGCTAGTGTGAATGACGCTGGTACAGTGGTTTGGCTAGGGGTCTTTATACATGTCAGTGCCACTGCTAGGCTCAGAGGGTTCCACCACACTAAGAGTCAGAAACAGAGCACTGATGAAGAACCACACTCTAGTGATTCTCTTAACTGGGGGTGGCAGAAGTTGTATCTCTACTTATTCATTTTAATTTTGTCAGTTTATTAAATTAGCTTTGGTCATATCTAAAAAAGTGGTACTTGTCTAAAAATAACAACCATTATTAAACATTATTGATAAGGAAATATGTAACAAGCAGTCACAGTTCATGGCCATACCACACCCACTAAACAAGCTATCCTGTAGCGATAAGGAACAGGGCCGGGTCTCTTGTTTGTGCAGAGCAGTAACAGCAGCAGAAAAAGCAAGCTAAATGGACAAGGTTCTGGTAAGATGTGGTCCTCGTTCATTAAGTGAAAATAATGACCAGGGGGTGAGCGGGGCACAGTGGCACTTACTGTCCACCATCTTACTATCCAGAAGGGACATAGACTAAGTTTGAGAACTGCTGGACTAGAGGATAGCAAACACAAATTGTGCATGGAAAAGGATAAGCTACATTCTCTGTATACCAGCAAGCTGAACGTACAAGGTGTTTCTGACAAAGTGGCTGGTGAGTGTCGTCTTCTATAGTTTTCAATCTAGTAAAATAATAAAAACAAAAGTATATAGAATTATAATCACTGTAATAAGAAACAAGAGGAAATTGTAAAGCAATTGGTAAAACACTACACCACTTGGTTGTGGCTGTAGTTCTTGTTTACAAGCTCCACAACTGGTCTAAAACGTTTTTGTAAATAATTCAGTTAGTCAGCTTTCTTGAAAATCAGTCTGACAACACCTGCAGTCTGTAAAGGCAAGTTTATAGTGACAAAATTCATCTCAATAATGATTATACAGTATTGCATAGTATCATATCACCTACCCTACTCTTTGGCCATAGTGAAACTGATCATCAGCCAGGTGTTTTACTGGTTTTCTGGTTATTTTCAGCATTACTAGTTTCCCAGACCAAGATTAAGCCTAAGCCTAGAGTTTTAGGGCCAGTTTCCTAAAGCTCAAGCCTAGACTAAAAGAGCCTAGACTAATTAATTCACAATTGATACTGCAGTTTAGTCCCAAACTGGGCTCCATCCATGTCCATTAAACTGTCCCTTGATGCACATTTGCACATTCTGTTTTTTCAAACTTCTGATTATCCAATTAATCTTCCAAATAATTGATAGATTACTGATTGATTATGATAGCCCTAATATTGACAGGTTTGGGAAATTGTCCCTTAATGATGAAACTCCCTTGGCATTGCAATTTAATCCAAGACTAACCTTAATCCCTGTCCACAAAAGCAGCCCTATTTGTTTGAAAAGCTCACTGATTCTTAGTTAGGTGTGTCTAACTGTGTGCTCTGCAGCTTTGTCAGCCATGTTTGACTGTCAGAACCAGCCCTCGGTGGACTCCTACATCCCCCAGAGAGTGCTTTCCTCCTCCGTTTCTCTGCGCCAGCGCTCCGATCGCCCCCCTTGGTGTGAGTACTGCACCCCTCGGGTCTCCTTAAAGGCAAATCTACTCCCTTAACAATCTCTGTGGTAGCCTCTTCAGCTGCCCTTAAGACATTAGAAGCAGAATGACCTGTTTTTATTTATGTAACTGCATTTAAACTACATATGACCTATAATTGTAGCACAGATCACAGTAGTGTGGAGAGGTGTTAGGGCAGCCTGGCAAATTGTTTTAACCTGTTTGTCTGGGCAGTTAGTGTGTTTTCACTTTTAAAACACTATTTAACATTAGAATGAATGCAAATAAACAAATACAGTAAGAAGTATCAAAGATTTCTTGTTGTCAGTAATTTTTTTTGCTATAATGTGAGGTGATTTGGAAGAACACAGGTTCGGTTCCTCTTCCCCTTTATGCAGATCCAGCCATTCCAACGATTTGTTGATTTACTTTATGAAGGGCTGATTAGCCAAACTAGGTATTGGATGGTATTGGGTATTGGAATAGGTATTGGAAACTAGGTATTGGAAATACAGTGTTCTCAGGTGGCTTTTGCACAGTTATTTGGTTAGTGAAGGTATGCATGTTTCTATCCATGCAGACAGCAGTGGTCCCTCCAGCACCGTGTCCAGCGCTGGTCCCTCGTCCCCCACCACAGCAGATACCTCCCCTCGTTTCAGCTTCAGCGAGAAGGCGGCCCTCACCCCCCAGAGCAGTGAGGAGATCCACCCAGCCTGCCCACCTTCCAGCCAGTCTGCTCCAGTCTCCTCATTGCCTGCAAGCCCTCCCACTCACCCCAGCTCCCCCAGTGCCCTTCAGTCCCTTGAGGACCCCCAGCTCCCAAGCCCTGATAGACCCAGCGACCTGGCTGTGGACAGCACAGACAGCCTGGATGGCCCAGAACATGATCCGGCCTTGAAGGCGGACCCCAGCCCCCCTAGCTCTCCTCTGGCTGATCTGAACCTGCGTATGGAGCCATTCTGTGGCCTGCCAGGCTCACTGCCTGTGCTGTTGGAGCTCCGGGAGAGCAGTTCAGAGGCTGGCTCCAGCGCCCAAACACCTCTGACCCCAGAAGAGCCTGATGAATTCTTTGACACCCAGGAGTCGGTAGAGGTGTGGAGGAGCAGCCCCAGGAACCTGCCACACCCCGGCACTCCTCTGGAGGTGGGAGCTCCACATGTATCTGAGCCCTGATGAAGACCTGGAGCATCTCACACAGCGGGTTCCAGTTCCAGTCATGGAGGACACCATTCTCTGCACTTTTTTAATTATTATTTTTTCTTTTGCTCATCTAGGCGTAGCTTTTGCTGGGTTTCCACTGGTATACACTTTTCAAAATCCAGGTTTTGCCCCCATACTTTCAAAGTCAGCTAGAGGATGTGGGGAAACCACTAAATATTGTTGGTCTGCTTTTCCAAGGTTACGCTACTAATGAGTTCTGTCGATACACACACCATTACAGACTGAAAGGTGACTGTGTATGTCGATGAAGCACACTTCATTTAACTAATTAACAAGTTACTCCTGTGCTGTGGGCATGTGTTAAACACTATTGGAGCTGGATTACTTTTACTAAATGAGGTTCTGTAATGTAATTTGTTGCAATTTGATTGATAGATTTGTACAGGATGAAATATCTGTGCAATTTCCCCAAATTACCACAGATAGCATGGATTGAAAGCCTGAATGTGCACTTACTTTAGCATTACACAACAGATGTCACACTCAACAACAGTAACAGCACTCATGGCCATATCTGTTAGCAGGTTATCTATTAGCAGGTCTTTTTATTCCTTTATTAAGAGGACGGCTATTATTGAGAAAGCTGTGGGTTCAGCCAGTTAAACATTGCATTAAACTCCAATTATTACTATCAGACTCTAAAAACTACACACACTGCATATTTATACTGGATTGAAATCATGATCATCCTCCCCATGTGAAACTAATTCAGCTCCAATAGGGCTTTAAAGCAGTGAAAACAAAGTACAAAGCATGGGTTCCTCAGGACTGGGATTGGGATCCACTGCCTCACACAAGCAGCTCTCTTGTTTAAATGTGTGTCCTGCGCATCTGCAGTGCTGATCCGTGCTCTTGCTATAGTGCCTCAGTGACGTCCCATACAAGATACAAGATACTCATACAAGACCCTAAATGCAGATAGCAGGCCGAGTATAAGTTAAACGGTTATAGAAATGGAGGCCTTCTCTGTTTGTGGACTGTTTCTGTGATTCAGCATGTCTTACGTTTCAGTGTGAAGTCCTGGTGCTCAAAAATAAGCAAGTGACAGATTTTCAGTTTGAGGATGCATTACGTCGCTGTCGTAGCAAAACTTTGTATCTCTGATAAAACAAAAAGGAAAAAACGTTCTTAACGTGAACGTTTGTTAATGTACTAAGACTTTATTCTAGGTCATTTTGAATCATTTCTATTGGTCAATTTGTCCTTCACACAATGTAAAAGGGAGCTGATGTGCTCCATTGATGTAAAAAAAACAACTAGTTTTTGTTATGACAGCACCTGTTAATTTAACATATACGTGTGCTCTGCCTTTGTGTGTCAGCTCTGTTACTGTTGCTACAAGTGCAATAGCAAAATGGCCAGTGATCAAAGCTGTAAGGTGCACTGAAAATCCATGCTGTTCGATGTTTCTTGGTGAACGTACTGCCCTACCTATTTCCAACAAAAAAATCCACCTGTCTCGTTGGCTGGTTCTGGTATATTTGAGACGGACTCTTCTGAGACATTTTTTAAAAATATATTTTCATAAAGCACATCAGGTCCTACCCAGCACTCCTTCATGAATTCTGTGTTGATGCCGTTGGCTGCCATTTTTCATGCATTTGGCAGACCACTCTTTCATATCATTCTCTCATATAAAGGTGGATTCCACCAGCTTTTCAAAAATTCAGCATAATTCAGTTGAGATGTAAAATGGTTTGATGTGAAAACTGGTTTAGTTTGATAGTTCATTGTAAAGAAACTTACTGACTCAGATTTCTTCACAGTGGTGCTGACAGGAACCAAGGATCATGATATTTGAAGCATAGCTGTTTTATTTACTACCCAGAATGCTTCATGGATCTACACGTCTTCTGAGTTTTTACATGTAACGTTGATAAAGAGAAAATATTGATAAATCTGAAAAAATCTGAAAAGGTTTTGGGCCAAAAGCTTCTCAAAAACGACTGCAAAACAATGACTGTGTTTACATGCCCTTAATAATCTGATAACTGCAGAAAATCAGATTTTGTCAGTAATCTGATAAATGTGTTTACAGGCACTTGAGTAATCAAACAATGGTGACAGTCAAACGTGACGAAATGTAACGTAAAACTCAAACTTCATGCGGCGGCTCTTAAACATCAACCCACTTTACCTGAAAATATGTACATAGATCATCTAGAAAATGAAGAATATTTAAATCCCTTATTTCGTCATGCATATATTTGGTTTCAGCATCGCTCCAAAACGCTGCTTGCTCATTTCTGGCACAGCAGTCTGTTTTTAAACATGCGCAGACTGAGAAATCCGAAAGAAATCAGAGTACGAGTTTACAAGCACTGAGAAATCTGAGTACTGAGCTAAAATCCAGCCTCTTTATCAGATTACGTAATTGGATTTCTAGACTGTTCTGAGAAATTGGAGTGTGCTGTTTACATGACGATTTGAATAATCAGATAACTGCAGAAATCTGATTATGATTGGATTATTGAGTCCATGTAAACACACTCAATGTCTGAGGCATCTAACAATGTATTTATAATTCAGTGTAATAACTTTCAATAAGGTAGGTTTTATAATTATTAAGCTCTTCAGACGTCTGGTTCCTATCACCACCACTGTGAACAAGTCTGATTGACTGAGTTTCTCTAGAACGGAGCATTTCGCACCAAACCATTTGGAATGACTTTGTTCACATCTTAACCACTTCATTATGCAGAAGTTTAGAAAAATCTATAGATTTCTAACAGACATACAGTGTGGACAAATCAGAAGACTGTAAACGAAGCCTACTGAAGATGTAATGCTTTTAATTGCTTTTTTTTGCCAAAGCCTCCAAAACCACTGTCATAACTTATTAAATCAGTCAACTGCATATCCATGTACTATATATTTATCAGCTAATGCAAAGCATATTTTTAATATAGAGATATAAATGGATAGTCTCATCTTTTATCAATTTTATATTTTTGTAAAACACATAGTATTACCACGGTTTGAACTAATGAATAAGCTCCTTATTTTATCATGGCAATTTCAGATTCTTTTCCCTCTGGCTTTGTAGCTTCCAGCTCTTTCAGATGCCGATTTTGTACTGGCTTTATTCTGCAATATACAGAGAGATTAACCTTGTGAAGTAAGATGATGTTCTTGCTTTCGTTTTGTCGTTTTTAATGTACAGTCAAGAGCTTACAGATGGGGAAAGATGTTATTTAATGTTAATCAGTAAAGTATGCTGCTCCCCAGAGGTTTACACTGTAAAATGCTATGTTGTCTGTTGACATGCACAGAGGAATAGTCTGCAGGAAAGAGTAGAGCTTATTCATAGTTGACCTGTATCTGAACTCCAGTTGGTGGGCATTATTACTGTGTACGAAACATGTGTAGAGGTCACCTCATTTCGCTGATCTATGAACAGCGTCCCATACTGCTATTACCCTTAACTACAAAATGGAGGGGTGACCCACTGGGAAAACGTTTATTTGCTGAACTGACAGGCTACATTTCTTGGTAACTTTACAACAGAGTCCACAGGTAATCTCACCAGATCTTGGGTGTTGCAGTGAAGCTCGTGGAGATGATCCGTGTAAATGTTGCTTTTTAATAAATGTTTAATTGACTCATCACTGACACACTGAAGCTTGAGGCCCTTTTAACTCCACCTCAGAGACATAGTGCTGCTGGTACTCTGTATGCAGTCTGTGCAGTCGTATGTAAGTGGCATTTTTCAGTGTCCCAACAGAAATGGCTTTGTCTGTCTACACAAAAAGATGTCAAAAATAAAAGTTGATGTAAGCTATTTTGTATGGATTTAATTACTGAATGGCTATCAGCAGTAAAATGTCAGATGAGTTGCAGAGGCATTGAATGCTCCTTTTTTCAATGATGGCTCATTTTTTTCTCCTCAGCATCACTAGTGTGTGATTTTACAACCTGAAATCAGAAGATTAACCCCTTAAAATCCCAGGCTTATTATACACTAAGGCTTATTATTCAGTGCAAAACTGGCTGAGCTATTCTAAGAATATAGAAGTGTGTAATAAGACTTTGGGCCTGCTGGTGGGCCCTGGCTATTTAAGGGGTTAATGAGCTGCTAGCTGTTCTTGCTGTACTCACTTATCCTCTTTTAACCCAATGGATATTATCAGTTCCCAGATAGCAAGAAGATACCAGAGCACTTTTGGCCCAGTGATGGCAAAGCTGGCATCCAGTGGTGGACAGTAACAAGTAAATGTAATTCATTACTGTACTTAAGTAGTTTTTTTGTGTATCTGGACTTTATTTAAGTATTTCCATGTTTGGTGACTTTTTACTTTCACTCCACTACATTTCAAAGTCAAATATCTTACTTTTTACTCCACTACATTATGCAAAATCTGTCATTCCTTATGGTTTATGTGTGTATAAAAATGCAACATGTCAAAATGAAAGAAGTGTGAAGCCAATCAGGGCACAGCGCGCACTTTGTTTTGAGTTTGTTTTGACCTGTTGGTCATACTGACCCAGTGCAAGCACACGGTTTAACGTCAGTGCAGCAGCATAAAATTTTGGAAGTGCCTATTCCAATATGATGGAACTAACCTAACTTTGTGTAAACAGACCACAATATAGAAATATGTACACATATGCAGTTGTGACTGGCGTGTCTATTTTCTGAATTTATACAAACACTATTTCATTTTATAGTAAATTTGTTTTTGCTAGTTTACAGAGACCAACAGATGCAGTTTAGTAAAGAAAAACTCATTTGTGAACCTGTATTTAAAGCAAGTTTTTCTATTAAAAAGATTGGTTTACCAAGAGTGACACTAGAGTATATAGTATAGTATGACAGTACACTATAGAGTATTTTCACCTAAAATGAGTTAATGAATCAAGAGTCAGTGCCATAATTAATCTTTTCGTACTTTTACTTTTGATACTTAAGTACATTTAAAGGCAAATATTTTTGTACTTTTACTCAAATGGAGGTCTAAAGGGAGGAACTTCTACTTTTACTGGAGTAATATTTTACCTTAGGTATGTCTACTTTAACTTAAGTACATGATTTCTGTACTGCGTCCACCACTGCTGGCATCCCACTGGCTTTGTGCTCAGTATTTTCCAGGTGACCCACTGGTGGTTAAGCAGAGTATTAGACAAAATACCACTTGTCATCACTCATTTTCCACCCACAGTCCAATTTACAGATTTTTTTCTTTCATTTCTTTCTTTCGTTAACTATTGTAAATTAGTTTAGTACAAAATGTTCACTGCAATATCATAAATAAAGCTGGTTATACAGCAGTAACCAAACTAGCACAGTATCAGCAACAACATTTTTGACAAAATCGTTTCATATTAAGCCTGGTCATTAATGTTCTTTTCTCTTAATTGTTTGTAATTATGGTCTTAGTGTATCTTCCAAAATAAAAGGCTGTGCACATTTAAAAATCTGTTACAGGAGATTAAAAACTAGTTGGGACAAAAACTATGCAGGACAATAATCTGGGTGGTCCGAGGGTGGACCAGCAGTGACATACAGTCAGCGGGGTGCTGACCTTATCAAGCCAGCGGACAGACAGATGCTAACTATCTGGGACGAGACATGTTTAGTTTGTTAGAAGTTTTCTTGCTTCGTTTTTTCACAGGAGCTAATGTAGCTAGCCATTAATGGAGGCTTATACCTCACCAATTAGCATCATGCTAACCACATGCATAAATCAACACACCCTTGCCTCAAAGTCACCTCAAGTCAATAATAAGTTGCTTATGTGGTTTCTGACACTGTATGACATCCAGACTCAAACACTCCTTATAACTTCAACATGAAAAGGTGGAGCTAAACTACTCTAGACTAAATAGGTGAATATGTAAATATAAATGTGTTGGTTTTTGTGACATCACAAAAAGAATGTCTTCAAAATGGGCTGCTTTTGCAGCTTAATTTCCATATATGAACTTAATGGACTGGGAAGTAAATGGTCTGTTTTGAAAATCAGTGTTTGCACACTAAATCAACCCCTTTCAGTTAAAAAAGAGAGTGAATTTTGTCTTTCCTTCATATGAGCCCTTTGTTAGCTTTGTTTAGGCTTAATCTGGTCTTTAAAACTGGCGCTGATTCTTGCTTTGCAGTAGGGTTTGAATAAGACACAGACAGTCTTACTCACACATGCTACAAGCAGAAATGGGTGCAGTGCATACAGTAACATCTCAGTATCACTCGTATCAACAAATACCACCCAAAAACGAAGCTTTTGTAATTTAATGGGGATCAGGAACAGTGAGGCTTTGTTGTTGGCACCCACAACACAGCACTTCTATACAGACACATGAGCTTTGTTCATCTCCATTCATCTAGCTGGATAAAAAAGGGGGTCTCGGACGAGTAACAGCCATGTGACCCAGATGGTGATGTCATGGCCATGTTTATTCACTCTTTGCCAGCCGAATTTCTGGAGGTGGACGCCAACCTGCCAAATTTCAGCACAGGCTATTGTACCGCAAAACAGTGCTCCACTTGTGTAAATAGGGGTGGCGTGTTTGGGTGTGAAAATATTAACACAAGGCCGATAGCGTGAATGTGCCTTTAAATGGCTGTGGAATAGCATAATGTAACTGGGTAACATGATCTTCAGTCCAGTAGTGTGCAGAAAAAGCTGCTGAGTGCAGTTGGTCTTCACCCAGCCTGGGCTTTTTATCCCAGCTCTAATGGATCTGCTGTCTGTAGCTGTGACTTCATGCTACCATATAAGAATCCAGACGCTTTTGCAGCTTTAACTCTTTAACTTTAAAAAGACAGAATGATCGAATTCTAATTCATAAACCATTTTATTCTGGACAGTGTAATTAAATTATACAATGCCTATGCAACTAACTGAATTTGAGCGACTTTGCCCTTATTAAATTACAAAGCCATCGTCCAAAGGAAACATTTCCTGTTGCCTCCTGTCTGTCTTTTGATTCAATTACTCCTATATGTTAGTAGGCCTACTAGGCAGATAACATTAGTTTTCCCTGCTTTTTTCATCCATAATGTACTCTACTGTAAGAGGCACATCACTGTAGCTCAGCCTTTTCACGTCTAAGTCTTATTCAGCTTACTTTAATGACTCTCTATGGTCCAACGTAAGAAATTCCAAAGCACTTTTATCTCATGGGGGGTCATCCCTGTGTTCCCAGGGCCCTTTCCCAGACAGCAGAGAGTTTTGGGCTGATTCTGGCCTCCCTATGTGAGTGTTGGTTGACTGTTAAGCATGCAGGCCAGAATAGGGCCAGATCCTGGACAGCTTCATCCCATTTTGCCTCGTGTCTACATTTGTGGGACAATTCTGGCGTGAATGTTGTGGACCAACAATGTAGTTGGGCCAGACTGAGAGGAACACTTTACAGTGTGTGGGCCAGATCTGGGCCAAGAACCCAGCCATATACTGGGCCAGAACAAACCAAGTAGGTGACCTACAACTGGGCCAGACAATTTTTGCTAACTGGGTTATTAGCTCATTAGAATGTCTAGGAAAATGCCCTATTGTGTTGTGTTCCCTTTGTAATACTGGGAAAATTTTAGAGCCCTATGTTTTCTCATTAAATTATCTAGGCAACAGCTGGACAATGTTCCTGCGGCCCTGTTTTAGCCCCATTCTCAATATGACAGTAAGACAAACTTCCATGCAGGCTTGTCTATGCTGGTCTTGTCCTGCCCGGTGCTGGTTTAGCTGGCCAACCAGCATCCAAAACTCAACATATGCTGCTTTTGCTGGTGACCAGCTATGCTGATCTATGCTGGTTTTTCTAGCAGGGATATGTACAATATACTCTATTATATGTTCAGTAAATTAATATCTGAAATTCCAAATAATTTCCAAAACAGATTCCCAAACACTCTGGTGACATTCGATTTACCATGTTCAAACAGGGCTGTAAATAGTAAAGAACTCCATCTGTTATACATCCAGACAGCTAACAAAATAACATTCTCAGAACGTTTCTCTACCGTTCCACTTTGGTGGGAACGCTGCATTTGAATGTTCTCTCAAGACAAATCCAAGTTTTCTTAACTTTCCCAGGACATTTTTCTTAAGTAAATGGAAAACGTTCACAGAACTCCACCTGAACCTCATCTGCACCAACAATTTAACGTTCTAGGAATTTTGTCCTGGAATGAGAACATGCAAATTTACATTCTAAAAATGTTCCCTTAACATTCTCATTTGGTTGTTGATTATCTATTGATTTAAGTTTGTTATTCTTTGTTACTCTGCTAGCCGTTTGCTAACTACCAAGTTCTGCATTCCCAGGGTCCTACCATTCCAAATAGCATGCCAAAAATAACACACCTCCATTAGAAGTGCACTGATTAGTACAATATGCACAGTGTAGCATTATGTGATTTTGGACGCAGCATGGCTCCACGTTGCAGCCCATGTTATTCATGTTTACTCTATATGAAATTGTTGCTATTTGATGCAACACCCAATTTGTTTTTATGACTTAATATCTCAAAACTACCAGATTCAATTTGCTGCATTAAACCTGGCTTTATGTGGTAAAGCTCTTCACCTTTTATACAAGTCTGCTGTGGTAAATTTGTTACTTGACTCTGCTAGCTTGCTAGTTAGCAAAGGGATGCAGACTTAGCAACAGCAAAAATAAGGGCAATGCACCACATAAATCAGACAAAGCAATTATTCACAAAGTTGATATGCCACATTCTAAACAAAACAAGAAACTTTGCATTACAAAGTTTGCTTAGCTAGCCGACCCCAGGACCCTAACCATGACCCTTTGATAGCTAGCTGAGGGAATGTAGAGCCCTGAGAACACAGCACCCTAGTAACATAGGTACGCTCCCAAGTGAACTCCTGCTGAAAACTCTTCCTTGCATGACTTTTGGACCTTATGTATCGTAACCGTGACATTAGGGATATGTATCATATTGAGGGAAGATAATTATGTAAGGAGCTGAGTGAATATAGGACTCTGGGAACACAGGTAGCTACCTGCATATGCAGCTAGCCTAGTTTGCATAGCCAGATAAAAATGGTCACGTACTAGCTACACTCTTAAAAAGATGGTTCCTCCAGGGTTCTTTAGTAAAGAAAATGGTTCTACATAGAACCAAAAACACTCAAATAACCCTTTGCATATTTAAGGGGTTTGTTGTATTATGAAAGCGTTCTTCAGATTGATGGAGAGTGTGCTGTAGATGATTTTATATAGAACCTTTTTGAAAAGGGTTTTATATAGCACCAAAAAGCGTTCTGCTATAGTTACAGTGTCAACAACAGAAGAACCCTTTAATCGTGCAAAGGGTTCTTTGAGTGTTCGTAGTTCTATGTAGAACTATTTTCTCTACTGTGCATCAAACAAGTTCTCACAAGCTTATTTCATGGACTTTTGATAGTTTTGATTACTAGTTGTTGCTAAATCTGCTGTTGCTAAACTTAAAATGCACACAGGCTCCCAGCTAACCAGCTAACTGCCTGTATAAAATGAAGATGCAACAGAGATTTTCCAAGGAGGTAAGAAGAGACGTGAAGTCATTGTAGATTTGAGTGGGAATTCAAACCAACTGAACAGTATTGTTTCCACATTGTTGGCACATAGGAAAAAATAGGGCTCACATACCTCTACAGCAGTGATGATGCAGAGTCTGACATATCTGCATTATTCTACTGCACTGACCTGGTAGGAGATGCAGAGATAATTTAGGTCTCCGTCTCTCTTTCATCCAAGCAGCATTGCGTAACGCCCCCCCCCTTTGGAGACCCCACTAAGGATTAGTGTTCCCTTGCAAACTAATGACAGATGAATACCTCCAACATTAATGCCCTTACAAATATGAACCAAAATATACTGAAAGCTACACTCTTAAAAAAGATGGTTCTTAAAGGGTTCTTTAGTAGAGAAAATGGTTCTGTATAAAACCAACACTCAAAGAACCCTCTGCATGATTTAGGGTTGAAGAGTTCTTCAGATTGATTGAGAATATGCTGTAGACAGTTCTATATAGAAACTTTTTGAGAATGGTTCTATATAGCACCAAAAAGGGTTCTGCTAGTGTTTCGATGTCAAGCTTGTAACAGTAGAAGAACCCTTTTTGGTGCTATATAGAACCATTTTTAATAAGAGTAATTCTATATAGAACCATCTATAGCACATTCTCCATCAATCTGAAGAACCATATCATGATACAAAGAGCCATTTAACCATGCAAAGGGTTTTTTGAGTGTTTATGGTTCTACATAGAACCATTTTCTTTACTAAAGAACCCTTGAAGTACTATTTTTAAGTGTGTACCAAGAAGGTTTCTTGGAGTGACAGCATAGAAGAACCCCTTTTAGTTAATCTTTCTATATGTACTTTAAATCAGGGGTGTCAAACTCAACCACTAAAAGAGCCATGTTAAAAAATCTCAGCAGATTTCTGGACCAGCTGTTTTTATTCTATTTTTACTTAACATTTTGCCATGAGCTGAACTGGCCATTGTTTATTCAAAATATGCAAATTAGGCATTGAATATTTACTTAAAAATAATTATAAATAAAAATAAATTGTTTTAGGTAGTTTTTAAAACTGCCTATTTGCTTGACACCAAGGCATCTTTTCTTTTTGTGTGACCGCTGGCCCAGAGATTGTTAGAAGAAGGGGGTCAGAAAGCACACTGTGTTGCAGTGCATGCTGGGAACTGTAGTGTGAGTGAAACGGGTTACTAAGAATAGAAAACTTAAATAATTTCGTGGGCCGAATATGACCGTGTCACGGGCCTGACTTGGCCCGCGGGCCTTGTGTTTGACATATGGGGTTTAAAAGAACTGTTTTTGTCAATGAGCTGTGTAGAGATTCTACTGAAGGTTTGCCCTGGCTATTCGTTCAAGCCAAGAACCTTTACTTTGAAGAATACAGAGCAAATTCAACCACGTCAAGCACTCGTCACATCTTTTTCAACGACTGTATTTTATTGGTGATCACCAGGTTTACCCTTTTACAACAAATCTGTAGATATTCTACATTTAGAGAAATTCTAAATAAAGATACAGAATATTGCACATAAAATAAATGGGAATAAACAGAAACACAGAGCAAAAATAACTTAAAACCAAAAGAAAAAAGAGAAGGAAATCTGAAGAAAAAGTACACAGTATCGTCTTTAAAACAACGCACAGAGAAAATGACAGCGCGGCCGGGTTATATGTGCCATCGAGACCATTGAGACACTTAGCATTTAAATATATATCTTTAAAATAGCACTTCATTTAATATCATTATTAACTAGAACATACAAGTTCAAATTTAAGATCACATGCAGAAACTAGCTAGGCTGAACGGAATGCAGTATTTGAATGATTCGATATGGTTATGATATGGATATCTGAGAATGCAACTGGATGCTCTGCACGGCACGTTGATGATTTCTCTTTTTTGTATCTTTTTTTTTAGTTGTTCATTTTCTCTCAAAAACAGACACTTATAAACCTTAAATATAAAAGACGATCAGTGATTTGGTCACTTGATCTGGCAGTCAGGTACACGTCGGTGTGTTTGTATAGTACTGTTTGTTTGGTCTGCTAACATTTGTTGCTTCTGTAAGGTTGAATGCAAGTTGAAGCAGTGAATTTAAGTCCATGGTGACTCAAAAGGACATGAAGGACGATGAGTTACATGTTAGCAGTGAGCGTCTTCTCTTAGCACTTCAATATAATCAGCAACTCGAAAGTTACAGCTCACAGTAAACAGCTAGCTAACTGTTCAGATATCTTTCCTCTGCTAGAAGTAAATGGCCAATGCTGAACAGCTGGACATGCTCCATGGTCTTTCCAGAAATAAATCCACAATTTGTCTGATCCAGAGTAACGCATACTTGGCTAAATTGCAAAATAAAACTTTGAATGAAACAAATGAACCAGACTAATAATATAAAATAACCCATTTATGTCCATATCAGGCATCTTATTTTTTCTTTTGGTCCATATGTTCTCTGAGCTGGTAGTAATTAGATACATGTTTATGTCTAAAAAAGTGAGTTTTTAATCACTTATTGCATGAAATTGAGTCTTTTGGTCACTCATATTTAACAAAACAATAGACAACCCATTGATTTGTAATAAAAGTATGGAAATGATATGTAAACAAATTAAAGCAGGTACTCTTAGATGTTTATCCAATATATAACAACATTTCATGACTTTAGACCACTCAGAACATGTTTTATTTACCATACTGGACATGAATGGGTTAAAATTCCACTATTTGGCCCTGGCATAGAGTACATGGACAGAACCACACATCTGGTATTATAATGAAAAAAAAAAGTATGTTATGTATTGTGAGAGAGAACTGAAGGGGAACTGTCTTGCAGAATATCCCATTTCACCCCAGTTTCTTTTAAGCGCATTAAAATCAAAGCATTACTTCAAAGCAGGTTCATCAGTATTATTTTCATTTGTCGACTCTTGGCAATATACATGCATGCATTTCATACAGGCCTACATTTTTATTATTATTTTTTCTCATTATTTTGTTTTTTAAGGGAACAAACGTTGCCAAACTTCATCCAAACCGTCATATTTTACATTCTGATAATAACCTAATAGCACCCCAGCCACCACATTAGTTTATTTCATTTGATTTTTAGCTCATCTGCATATATTTTTGGAAATATACAAATTAGCAACTCTTCCAGCTTTTGGGGATAATATTTTGGGAAATATGTTGAGCAATGAAGACATACATATAAAACCACATTGTTCTAATAGCAAAAGTCGTCTAAACCTTAAAACGGTACTGTGATTTACTATCAAATGTCCTATATATAATCAATTTGTACTGACTTCAACAACGATCAAAGATAAGCCTGGCAGTTACTGCTAAGATGTTGGTAGATGTCACAATGTGCTTTTTATTGATCCAACAAACCAAATGTAATCCTGAAATTGTACGGAGTTCTTAGAAAACCTTAGCTTTGCCGTAGCTCGGCCTCATACATGTAACCTTATGCAATACACACTTTCTACAGCATAACGTAATTCAGAACGTTCGTAAGTCAAATCGTTCACCGTTCGCAATCACTCCACTGCTTGTTCCTTTGGCTTTGACGTAAACAGTCTCTCATTCTCTTCCCACCTCCGTTAAATTAATAAATCTGCTAGCCATATTTACAATGCATTGAATTAAATGAGAGGAATTAAAGTGCAGTTAATGAGAATATTCTGCAATTGGGAAACACTTAAAAATACAAGGTAATAAAATAACAATTACGAGACCCTTTGCTCTTCTGTAAAATCTAAAAATAATGATTAACTCTGTTAGTGTACACCTCTTACAGCACGTTAATATTCATCAGTAAACACTGACTTAGCCTAACCTTACATCTAAACCTAATTCTTCACTTTTACATTAAGACGGAAAACAGTACATCTGACGAAGTTTGCCTCGTATTACTTGATTCTTCCTCGGCTTGTGAGGTCCTCTCGATTCGGTTAAAGGTATGCAGGCAGAAACGAACTGAACTGAGCTCCACTCCCAAAATACATGTGCCTCTGCATCACGGTGTTATTAGCTAAGTGAGCCACTGACTTACAGAGCACAGCCCCAGAATAAGCTTCTTAAAGTACTGAATGCATGACATCTGGACAGCGTTCAATGTATCTGTCAAAAGTGTAAAAGACTGGACATCTCTGGTGGTGTAATCGGCTTCGGAAGGAGAGGTAACTCGATTACAACATGATTGCCTGTGTAGTGCATGTGCGTATGTATGAGAGAGATATAGGCAGACAGTGTATGTGTAGGTCAGTACAATGATGCGTAAATCGGATAGGAATAAATGACAGTTAAAACTGGCAGAAACTCAGTCTTCAAGTGTTCAAGGGGTGCTGCAGATTGTAAAACAAGAAGTACGCTTGTGCTTTGATAAATCTAACTGTTAAAAGTTAAAACAGGGATCTGTGAATAACACGAAAAAGCATTCAAACTGACCAAAAAAGATCAAGAAGATTGCCACTGTATTCCTTACTTATCCAGGCTTAAAGGGAGATACTAATTCAAAAGTTAAAGGCACATCCTCCTAATGTTTTTGCCGTTCAATTATATGCTCAGTGAAGTTTGGGAATCATTAGAACCAGGACCGTTTTTGGACAAACAGGAACTCTGGAGGACTTTAACTGCTATCAAAGGGTTTGGAGCGCTGAATAAACCACAAATAAGGCTATAAGGGACCATTTGAGAAAAGTGTGAACCTGGGAGCCATGCCAGATTTAGAACTCGATCTTGCAGGCAGGGAAAGACTCGTCCTGCATTACAACAGTGCTGCTGCTGGCCAGGACCATGATGTTCAGCTCCTGCTGCTTCTCGTGAGTCTGCTGGTACCATTCTCTCATCACTTCGGTGTCATGAGTAGGGATCAGCGTCACCTAAAACAGGGCAGAGTGACATTTTAGCATAGCGATGGGTTGAAATTTACAGAGCCCATATCCTACTTTTCATTTTTCCCCCAAGGTCCACTTATGCAGTTTTTGTAGTTTTTTATATCATCTACACCGATCAGGCATAACATTATGACCACCTCCTTGTTTCTACGCTCACTGTCCATTTTATCAGCTCCACTTACTATATAGGTGCACTTTGTAGTTCTACAATTATAGACTGTAGTCCATCTGTTTCTCTGAATACTTTGTTAGCCCCCTTTTACCCTGTTCTTCAGTGGTCAGCACCCCCATGGACCCTCACAGAGCAGGTACTATTTGGGTGTTGGATCATTCTCAGCACTGCAGTGACACTGACGTGGTGGTGGTGTGTTAATGTGTGTTGTGCTGGTATGAGTGGATCAGACACAGCAGTGTCTGACCATTGAAGAACAGGGTAAAAGGGGGCTAACAAAGTATGCAGAGAAACAGATGGACTACAGTCTGTAATTGTAGAACTACAAAGTGCACCTATATAGTAAGTGGAGCTGATAAAATGGACAATGAGTGTAGAAACAAGGAGGTGGTCATAATGTTATGCCTGATCGGTGTATCATTTATGTATTTGTTCTCTTTTTGCCTTAGAATTAATAAGGCTGTTTTTGCCACTGTGCCTTTAAGACTGACACATGTAAGTGACCTCTATTCTGATTAGCTGCTCTATATTTTTAATATAACTGAAACACTCCTTATAACTTCAGTGCGAATAGGCGGAGCTAAACTACAGTAGACTGAATAATGAGAGTCATCACAAAAGCAATGGTTTTTGCAGCTCAGTTCCCATATATATGAGCTGCATGGACCGAAATTGTCTTTTTCCATGACACAAGCCATTTAAGAATGTGTCTTATTCCATTGGCTGACAATTTTGCTTGATTCAAGCACTATTTCTTAAAAAAAGCAAAACTACCAGCACTATTTTTTCAAATAAGCAACATAATTTGCCAATGGAAAGAGAAATCTTTACTACAAGAAATGACTTAAAATAAGTCAATCTTATTCTTACAACAATGCAAAATAAGGAAATTGAGAAATATTGGATATAAACTTCATTTAAGATTAATTTAATTTGCCAAGGTATAATTTTTTGCAGTGAATTTTCTTATTCCCTAGTTTCAAAGTCATCCATTCCTCCTCCTTACAGATTAGTTAGATCCATGATGAACTAGCATTACTTTGTTTGTTGTTATATCAAAACCTTGCAACTCTCCTCTTTCTTTTTCTTACAGTTTTAAAATGTCAGCTGCCCATTACATTGTGTGAACATTTAATGAGGAATGCACCAATAGAAACAGTCCAAAATTACTTATAAACATACATTAAAGTTAAGAACATTTTTCCTTCTCTTATAGAATTACATTTTATGAAATACAAAATTATTGTGCCAGTGAAGATTAGCTGTAAACATATTTTAATGTAAAATTACTACCTATACAAAGGTTTTCACTAAATCTCCTATAATACAATCCGTATAGTATTATTATTACAAATACTAGACTACATATTGGGCCTCATTCACAAACTGTTCTTAAAAAAAAGTCTTCTTAAAACTTTAAACCAGTGTTTTCTTATTTGAGATTTGTTCTTTGGTATAAACAGAATCTACACACACTCAAGAGCGCAAAGGTTCGAATAATTCTGCATTTTTAGAACACGCCATAAATCCGATGTAGACCTTCTTAGGACAGTTCTCAAGAACAAATTTAAGAAACAACTTGGGAAGATGTTGGTGAATGAGTCCCAATGATCTTTGTTCAGCAGCCATGCAAAAACCTGGCTGGCTGGTATTGGTGTTTTCCTCATCAATGTTACTAAATTAACTTTTAAAATGCCATGTTGTTGTTGACCTTCACAGAACAGGCACAATGTCTTGTGTAACACTCTACCTGCAGATTTGAGCCCCACTGTGCTTTTCCCTCCAGCAGTGCATCCAGGACAACACGGCTAGGCTCCCCACTGCTGGAGTCATTTCCACTCACTACATAATAGGCAGAGCGCACGCGTTTGAAGAACTCCTGGTCAACATTTTTAGCACTGCAGTGGTTTGGAATGTAGGCCAGGTCCACGTAGATGGGAGCACCAGGGGGTGCAGCGGAACTGGATTTCGCAGTGTTCGAAACTGTTGAAATAAAAAATAGATTTATTAAAAGGTGTCACAATGCCACATAAACAGTGATAAATCACATAGTTGACCCTGACTAAAAACTGTATGCTGTAACCATGGTAACCACAGTATTTCAAATGCATATTCTCAACAAAACTCTACACCAGGGGGCTCAAACTCAAATTACCTTCATTTTTTTTGCTTTAAGTATCAATTTTTACTGCATAAAGTTTTCACCTTGGTATCGTTGTAGACTAAAACATGAAATCCTATTTTTTTTATTATTAATTTTAAGTACATATTTAATCACATTTTAGTTGTTTATGAGCTGTTCTTCTGCCACCAAAAACCACAACTAATAGTACTACTACTACTGGTAATAATAACAATAATAGTAGTAATAGTAAAATATTAATAGAATAAACATTCATGCTGTGTCAAGTTTTTGTTTGAATGGTGGTCCTCTTCCATGCATGACAGGCTATGTGAAGCTGCTCCTGACTCACTCAGTGTTTACTGCGTAGCAGAACTGCAAATCACCTAACACATTCAGATACATTTTTCACAAAATTTTAATTCCAGTGTCAAGTACTTGGATGCTTTACTCATCAAATGTTCACTATTTATCGAGACTGCAAGTAAGAGCCTAATATATCCAAACACATACCTGACATACTTTTAATTCCATTGACAAGTCCTCGTCCCGTGTTGTGACTTGACCTGGACACATCATCCTCTATGTCCTTCTTCTTCAGAGAGGTGGTGCGAGGAGATGAGTCCTTTGACGGGGACCTTTTATGTCTGGCATCAGCCTTCCTGGCTGGAGACTTTGACTTGCCTGATTTACGCAGGCCCTTTGCCTTGGGATCTTTCTTGAGGGATTTGTCAGTGAGGCTGGACAGTGCCTCTGGGTCTACCATGCATACGTCAGGATGAGGGGGATAAGGTGCCGGATCCATCATGGGTGAGGGCAGTGGATCGTGGTTTTTCTCTGAAGACCTAGATGAATAATGTTTTCCCCCATAGGCTCCAGATGACTTATCTACAGGGAGGTAATCTGCATCCTCATCAGATTCCACATTGCCTTCGGCTGTGATGGACGGACACTCTTCAGTTCCTGGTGGAACGTCAGAATCTGTCTGCGAGGGCAGTGATTCGCTGACAGAGGTCGGGGGCGTGTCCTCTCCAGCTAGGCCCATATCTGCAGCTGCTGCTCCAGAGAGGTGCTGCGATTCGCTATCCTCCCTATGAGAATGATGGTGAGGTTGGTTGTGGTACCTTGTCTTGCCTGAAGGCTGCTGCTGATCAGTGTCCTGGCTTCTTTCTTCCTCATCGTCCTCGTCACTGGATAGCTGGCAAAGGTTTGGGTTGATGAATGATGGGGAGGTGTCTCCTTTCCTCTGCTTGTACTCTGAGGATGAGTAACCTGGTGAAGCTGAAGAGGAGAAGGGGCTGGCACCCATACACACGTCAGGAGGATGATCCGAGTCATCCCTCCTGCCTGGGTCTTCTTTATAGTAGGAGGATGGAAAAGACTGATCCGTAGATGCGAGGGAAAGAGGACGGGGTGGGTGCTCAGGTTCCGTTTCCTCTTCTTCTTCATACTCATCCTCATGGCGATAGTGAGGAGGTGAAGCCCCTGGGTAGACGCCTCTTTGCTGCAACATTTCCCATTCAAATGGACTCCTAACCTTGCCGGCTTCAAATTCCTCACTTTTCACTTCGGTTTTTGACAGGCTTGATGTTAGCTTACTTACTCCACCAAAGGCGTCTGGTGCCGTCATGCTAATTTCTGCAGGACCATTTGCAGTATCTGGCTTTGTAGGCTGTGGTGCTGAAGAAGTATAGGTAAGCACATCTGGGAGTGCGCCTACCTTACTGGCAGATGTGTCCATGGCTAGTTTTTCCGTCAAGGAAAAAGGACTATCTTTCTTGTCTGCTGGGGCTGTGAATGGCGATCTTTGGTACTGTAGTTTGTCTTGTTCTGTTTCGCACATGTAATCATCTTCCTCCTCTTCGCTACTCTCTGTATCTTCGTAATACTTTTTCTCAGGGACATCGGCATGAGGCGGTAAAGAAGTGCCAAACAAAGCTTTCGTCAAGGGGTCCTTCTCGGCGGCCTGGGACAGAGGCCCAGTAGCACCGTATTCAGCCTGCAAATTTGTATCATCCCCCCATTCTGGCTTGTAGAAGCATGCACCCTGGGGACCCTTGTCCAAAGCACCACTGGCAGAGCCGGTAAGTTCTTCCCTCTTATCATCTGCAGAGGGGACTGAGTGAGAAGGGAAGGGCTTGATCTCTTCAAAAGGCGACAATGGAGAAAACCTCGCAAGGCTAGAGGTGGACTCAGCTGTGGTGGTGGCTGGAGTCAGCTTCTCTGACACTTCTAAATATTCATCTTTGATTAGCCCACCGGAACTGGAGAAGGGTGAATCCATCACAAGGGAATGTTCGTCCTTGAAGGACGAATATTCATATCCAGCACTGGCAGGAGTCTCTAGCTCGTCTACAAACTGGCGGCTGGTAGAGAGAGAGGCAGAAGCAGAGGAAGAGTGGCTGTAGGAGGAGGAGGAAGAGTAGGCCGTGGCTGTTGCAGTTGCATAATTGAAGCCTGGTGAGACTGAGTCTCCAGGCTTTTTGGTTAAAACGTCTGGTGTTTTTTGCTTCTCAAATTCAAGATCTTTCTCATCATGATGGTATTTATCGTCACTTGGCTTTGTGGAGAGAGGTAAGTAAGACTGGTCATAGCTGTCATCTTTTTTTGCCTTCTCTTCAAACTTGGTGGATGGGAAAGAATCTTTCTCCTTACCGTAAGAATATTCATACCCACAGGAATATTCTGTCATCTGGCTGCCGGAGAATAGAGATGAGGCTTCATCTTTAGCCACTTTGAATGTTTCCTCAGGGCTCTTGTGGCTCCCAGTGGGTTCAAATGGAGCAGGGGCTGGGGGTTTGCCATAACTGTCAGTGCTAAAGCCATAGTCTTGTAAGGGGTCCCTCTTTTCCTCCTTGAATTCAGGAGGCACTGTGCAGGTAGCACCACCAAATTGGCTGAATTCTTTCTCTGATCTGTCTTTCGCACCCTTCTCCTGGTCACTATCACTGACACGTCTTCCATACATCTCGTCATCATCCTCATCTTCTTCTTCTTCCTCCTCCTCCTCCTCCTCTTCATCATCATCCTCCTCACCATGTGCTAGCATCTTCATGTCTTTTGCAGTTGCTCCTTTCACATCACCAAAAGACTGAGCTACCGCAGGACTACTAGTTACTGTGGAAAAGCCAGAAGCGGTGAAGTCATCTAGATAATCGCCTGATGCTGCTGCACTCACTTCTGTCTTTCCACTGACAGTGGGCTGACCAAACTTAATAGAAAAGGGGTCTTTTTCTGGCAGGAAGGAATGTGAGGATTTTTCAGCCATCTCTGGTTCAGCTTTAGCCAAACTGTCTGTAGATTTCTCTTCTGAAACGTCACCCATATATGATGCCCCATATGTGGTTTTTGGTTCACTGAATAATGATGAAGACCCTTCCTTTAGAGGAGATTCTTTAAAATCTGACATCTTTGTAGTTTCCATTAAGCTGGCACTAAATGTGCTATCTTTTTTCTCTGTGTCCTCCAGGACGCCATCATCCTCATCAAATTTGTCCATGAAGTCCTTTGGTACATTAGGAGAGTATGAACTATCCACTGAACTAGATTTACTGTCATATACATCGGAATATGTAAAACTCTTACCAACATAAGGTGTATCTTGCCTTATTTCCCGCACATATTCTTCCTTATGACCCTTCTCACACTCAGGGAAGGAGTACAAGTTGAAGTGTACACTTTTATCGCTGTCTTTGGAGGTCACTGTTGTGTCATCTGTCTCTGAGAATGACACATCTTTTTTGCCTTGGCCTACTGACATTGAATCTAACTTGCCCTGAGGCTCTTTTACACTCGAGTAAGTGCAATCTTCAGCTTCACTATCTTCCTCCTCCTCAAAGCCGAGCATCTGGGGTTTGCGTTCCTTATCCAAATGGGTCACGTCCTGTGGTTTCTGTTGCGTCTCTGCTTCCTCTTTCTCTTTTCCAAATAGCTTCTCCTCTTTTAGAGACTGTGGCTCGCATGTATATTCCTCATCCAGGAATGTGCTCTCCCTCTCTTCTTTGTATTTAGTTTTACTGCAGGTCTTAAAATCTTGCTTCTTATAATAGTCATCTTCCTCTTCTTCTTCTTCTTCCTCTTCCTCCTCCTCTTCTTCTTCACCTGAATCATCAAACGTTGCCCTTGTGCTTGAAAAGCCCTTTTTGAATGGGTCATCTTCATCCTCCATTATTTTCACAGATGCTGTCTTCTTATTAGCATCGCTTAATGGCACTGTCTCATGTTTTGCAAACATTTGAACGTCATGTATGTCTTCTTTCTCCAAAGTTATGGACTTCGGTGCCTTCTCCTCAGTAGGGGAGTAACCACTGCTAGTAGGACCTGACTGTGTAGGTGAGGCCATTCTCATGGTGCTATCATCTGGACTCAGACATCTCTCTTCTGGTTCTGAAGTTCCACTTGTTTCTGGTGTGCTGGAGAAGAAGGGTGCAGAAGGTACAGGTTTCTCAACAACTTCTGCTTTGGTGGGCTCATCCTGAGCAACAGGAGCCACTTTTTCATCCTTCGATTGCGGGATAGGTGAGGACAGAGGTGCAGTTGGGGAGGGGGACTTATCAAAAGCTTGCTCTTGGTCTTGCATTGCAGCGGATGCATAACCTTCATGCAGTTTTCCGAGAGGCACGTCAACATTTGGCGTCTGGTCTTCATCCTCTTCTTCATCTTCATCATCATCTTCATGGGCCTGAGTGGTGGGCTTGACGGTAGCTTCCAGTTCTGGAACAATAGGCTGGTACTCTTCTGATGGAGGTGACTTAAAGCACTTGTCTTCTTCTAAAGATGATGTTGGAGAGATTGTGCCAGCTGAGTGTAAATACTCCTTTCCTTCTGTGCGACTAGATGATGGTATACTGTTAACAGTGTCCAAGAACAAGGAGCTTTTCCCTGCATCCTCAGTAGGAGGTGCTGTCACAGATGCAATAGACTGATCTTCAGTGACAGATGTGGCGAATGAGGATAATTTATCATACTCTGTAATGGAGGTGGCTGAGGATATATGTTCCTCTTCAGCCAATGGTGCGGCAATAATATTGGTGGCAAAAGCTGATAAAGCTGTCTCTTGGCCCACGCTACTTTCTTTAGCTGTTAGATCAGATGGAACAGATATTGATGGGGGTTTCATCTCTTTTACACCATGAATGGTGTCAAACGAGCCAGGCGCATCAGGGACGGAAATGTCATAAGAGCCGACATCATAACTGAGATGAGGGATCCTATCTTCTGCATCTTCATGTATCTCCTCATCTGAAATGGTCTGTTCAGTCTCCGAATATCCTGGAATGGTCTCGTCTTGGATGAAAGAGATGTGCTCGGTGGCTCCAGCAGGTTTAACTAATTTAGTCTCGCTCTCTTTGGCGTCCCAGTCCTTGTCGAGTTTTTCTTTCTTGGCTGCCTCATACTTGTATTTCAGCTCGTCCTCATGAACTATATCCTCGGCTTCCTCCAGCTCAGCCTTCTCAATGACATCCTCTTCCTCCTCACTGTCACTCTTTTTTGTTTTCTTTTCAAAATCCTCTTCTTTCACCTTCGTTTCTTGCCATTTCTTCTCATCTGCCTTCCCAGTGTCATCTGAAACTTTTGTTGTTTTGGTCTCTATGTTGTATTCCTCCTCATTGTCTTCTTCTGTACCAGCACCTTCATCCTCAAATTTCTCTAAACTCTTTGTTGGGGATTTACTTGGCTTTCCTTCATATAGTTTTTTTTCCTCATGAGGCGATTCAGTCTCAGCATCAGTAGTGGTTATTCCTTCGTCAGGGGACTCAATATGAGGGACCTTTGCATCAGGAAAAGCTGTAGGTTGAAGATTTGGAAGCACTTTGCTCTCAGAAAGCTCTTCTTGTCTCAGTGCTTCAAAGTCCTTGGTAAGGTCTTCTGGGGATGAGACCAGGGATCTGTCGTTTTCCTGTTTCTCCTTTGAAACCTGTTGAGCGGCAGGCCTGTTCTCTTGCTCTTTGACTGCTTTTGTTTTTTCCGTCTTCGGCTTTGCCTGAACCTTTGCTTTATTCAGGGTCTTTCTGACCTCAGGTGTGAAAGGCTTCAAATCAGGCTTAGTGATTTTCCTTAACTCTGGCTTACTTGCATCAGTCTTCTTTTCTTCTTTCATTTTGGATTCTTTATTGTCATCTTTCCTAAGAGATTTCACTTCCCTCTTTTCTTTCTTAATCTCTGTCTTTTCTTTATCTTTCTTTTCCTCCATTTTAGATGTCTTATCTTTGTCATGCTTTTTAGGAGATTTCTCTCTCAGCAATTTCTTTTTCTCTTGCTTCACTGTATCTTTTGTATCTGTTTGGGCTTTCACAGATTTAGGTTTAGGAACACTCTCCTTCAATTTCTTCGGCTTCTTTTCGACTTTGTTCTCCTTTACAGAGTCGCTCTTTGACTCAGTGTCTTCGTTTGCCTCTTTTTTGCTTGCTTTAGTAGTGGCATGCATTTTGGGCGAAGATTTAAGACTTTCCTTGCTATCGGTCCTCGGCTTCAGTTTAGTTTGTTTAATGACTGGAGGGGGAGCCCCGGATGATATGTCTTTTTGAGTCGCAACAGGATAACGCAAAAAGTCAAGATGTCGTAGCTTTTCCAGGCCCTCGAAAATTTTGTTCTGTGGGGCATTTCCGGGAAACAGCACCCTCACTATCTTTTCAGTAGGGCCAGCGGGAACCCAGACAACAAGGGCCGTTACTGATGTGAGGTATGGAACAGAAATTTCTCCCTCTTTTCCATTCGCCAAGATGATGCCAGTCTTAGCCTTACTGTTACCTGCCCACTTCTGCATGAAGAACTGCATTTCCTTACTGTCCTTGACAGGGTTCAGGATGTACATGTCTAACTTGCCGACACCCAGCTTGTGAAAAAGTGTGACAGGCTCAATTGTGTTGCTAACAACACGATACAGAGGCTCAGGCCTGATTCCCAACTTGGTGAGGTACTGCAAGGTCAATGAGGCCTCCTCGATACTCCTCTTCACTTTCAGTGTTGGTTCTGACATCTTTAGCTTGTCTGGAACGTTGAAGAACACCACACCAAGCTCGGGTGAGATCAGGTTTTTCATCCAGTCCCCATAAGCATTGGAGCCTTGGGATTGTTCCTCCTCTTGCTCTGCAATTTTCCTCTGCAACAGTCCATTTATCCCAGCGAGATTGTCTGCTCCAATGTGGGTAAGTAGAATGGAATCAATCCGATCCAAGTGTCGCACCAGCTTCCAGAAGCAAGACTTTCGGTCTGAGCCACCATCAATCAGAATATTGAAGCCGTTGACCGCGAACAGGGCCGAATCACCTCTGCCTCCAGGGAAGATGTAGCAGCATGGCTTGGACAACTTCAGGAACCCCCCTGAGGTGGGAGGCTCCAGCAGCTCGAAGGGGGAAGGGACATCCACCGTCTCAGAGACATATTCTGTAAATTCTGTCACGCCCTCCATCTCAGGCAGCACAGGCTCAGGGTTCAGTCGAATGTCCAGCAGGTACTGCTCCTGGTTGAGCTCCAGGGAGCTCCAGGCCCCCTCTGCTGCACAGCACACAGTCAGACACCCTCGCTCGCCTGGATGTGACTGGCTCAGGAAGTCTTTAATCTAGAAAAAAGGGGAAAAAGAAAAAAAATGGTCTAATAGATTAACGTGCAACATACTTCTTTACTGAATTAACCCCTCATAGGTTTTATATGTGGGAGCACACTTCGATTTATCACGCTTAACTACACAACTCACATGATTAAACCTAAAAATGAATAAGGGAATAATAATTAGGGATGCACCATGATCTAGATATCATAGCTGTGTTGACATCTAAATGATTAAAACTGTATCAGCATTGGACAGATGTTTAGATTTGACTGATATTTCAAACCAATATTTAATGATGTATTTGTTGAACTTTAGAAAAGCAAAACATTTAGGCAACATTGAGCTACGGTGCTAAAGCATCCTTTATTCATTTTATTCATAAAAGCACTGGCCCACAATTACCTTTTACCTTTACCTTTTACCTTTGCCATTCCCATGTCAGTGCCTCATAAACAATAAGCCTGTGATTTAAAGATTTGTGTAAATACAATATATGCTTACTCTTTGACTTGTGATGATGTCAGAGAAATTCTTCCAGCCAAAGACACCACTTTGTAGGATGATGTCACCACCTTGTTCAGTGCTCTGACCGCCTAGGACCAATAACTTGTGTTGGGCTGAATCACAGAGCAGTGTTCTGATCTGTTTGAGAGAATAAAAAGGAAGCAGGTGTTTTTAGCACTTATTATTCAGGCTGTGACTTTGTAGCGTAAATATTACAACTCTGTAAGAGAAGCTTGTAAAGCTTTACGTATAAACCACTATTATTACCTCTATCGCAATATTGTCCTCAGATGGATTCACCAACACAACTGTCTCAAGGACATCACTCTTGTACTGCAGAAGTCTTTGTCCTGCAGAAGGGAAACAGACATTTAAATGGGGAATTCCAAAACATCTGCATTATTAAATGGATAAGATGTAAACAAAGTCAGAATAGTTTGATGTGAAATGCTTCACTTAAAAAACGTATAGAGTAAGAATTGTTCACAGTGGTGGTGATGGGAACCAGATGTCTGAAGAGTTTTATGCCTCTAAAAGCTCCCTCACATAAAGTTACTACATGAAATGGTTATGAATATGCTGCTTGGAATTTGTGTCACGTATTCATCTGACCCTGCGCTCATGAAAGACTCGAATGACTGGGACACTTTACTCCTCAGTGGACTCACATGAGGTGAGTTTCCTCACCAACACCAACCAATCTCTGTTCTCCCTCGCCTGAATATTGATATGCCTCACCTGAATCTGATTATGACGTCTTGTTTAGTTAGTATATAAGCCCGGGCTTGTATTGTAGATGTTTGTAAGATATTGCTTCTTCTAAAGACCTACTGAGCAATTTTCTTGTATTTTTGTTTATCCCGTGTACCATTTCTTTTGCCTGTTTTTCTGCTTTCTGCCTTTTGTCTTTTCCCATTTGGATTTTTTGTTTGGATCACCTTTGTTATGTACATTCGGATGTTTCTGGTTTTGACCTTGGGTTGTTTTTTGACTATGTCTCTCTTGAACCCCAGTAACCAGCACCCGCCTGACCAGTCTGGTTGTGTTACAATTTGTGCCCTAAAATGTACTTTTTGTAAAGAAAACTTTTTTTCTTTTTTCAATTTTACCATCATCAGCATTATATATAAATACTCATAAGACAGATGTAGGTTCAATGGTGGTTTTGAACAGTAAATAAAATACTTGTGTTGTAGACATTGTGACCCCTGGTTCCTATCACCACCACTGTAAAAAAATCTGTGTTGGCAGGTTTCTCAACAATTAACAATTTCTCATCAAACCACTCTGACTGACTTTGTTTACATCTTATTGACTGAATTATATAAAAAAAAAATTATATGTGGAAATCTCTTTTAATGAACAATTTCAAAAAGACAAGCATACATTTGTCTTGGATACACAATTGATGCAGCTGCAGCATAAGGCGATATCCTGGAAAGCAAGTATATTAAAGCTATAGTGGAATTTATTGGGAACAAAAATGTTGTTTCTACTGTATTTTTTATTGCACCCCTGCTGTGCAACACCTCCCTAATCTTCTGGCAGAGCAGTCTTTTAAATTACATGCAACCAAAACAATGTTGCAAAGCTCCTGCATGCAAATCTATTGGCTGTTGCCATGGAGACGGCGAACGAGCGAATGATTGCCGCCAGCCGCGTTACACTGACCCAGTCTTGGAGCTGCGCGACGCATTGCAGCATTTCTGCGAGGGGGGGGGGTGGGTTAAAAAAAAGCAGCCCACCCCTCTGCTGCATATGAAAATGCAAGGGAACAGGAGCATCATGCAGAGACATCCAGGTGCCACATCATGCTATATTAAGCATTAATCTCTCATTGGCTGCATGAAAGACAGAGATACATAACAGCTCTTTCCATAGGGTGTGGGTAATTTCCACTGCAGTCAGGGAGGAGCACGGGCATTGGGTCTTAAATAACAGACAGATGATTTGCCAGGGCTTTTCTCACTCTCGCAGCAGCTTAACACACATAAGAACCTCACATAATTAGCATTTCAGAGTTGGATATGTTGCTGGGTAAAACAGGGCAACGCAAGAATGGGTAGAGAATAATTGTGTTAAACAAAGTCAGTTTAAACAAAATATAGCCAAATATGATAGAAGCTTCTCCATCCAATGGCCGTTATGTTGCTTTAAACTGTCCGGGCATCAAGTGCAATGAATTTACTGTAAATCTCAGTGAGGACAAGAGGCATGCTCTTGTATAACAGTTAGCACTCTAGTGCACTGTTGAAAATGAGAAAGCTGGCGTCTCTTGAGTATTTCCAACAGATAAGCATCTTTAATTGCATCATTTTGGTTAGGAGCTCTTTCCCAAAAGAGAGGTCCCCTTGAGGGAAAATGGGCACATAATTTCCAGACTAACCCTGCCTTTTACTAGGCTCACTTTCATAACAGCTTCAAAATGCCTTGATTTAGGGGACACTTTGTCAATCTGACAAACAATGTTTAATGCATAAGTGCTGTGCCTGAGGTATTGTCGATATGACCTTCAAATGTGCTGTCGAGGAAAACGGGGATAATGGTATATAGGGTCAAAAGAGACAGTCCGAGTGACATTGCACATTCAGACTCATAACACTTTGGAAACTGCTTTGAATTGAAGTTACTTCAAATGTGTACATCATTTCCACACTGAAGGGTCCATATCCTACATTTTGTCTTGCATTTTGTTTTTCTCCCCTAAGGTCCAGTAACAATGTTTGTGTGGTTTTACGTTCCAAAATCGGTCATAATTCATTTTTAAATGACTACTTTCCAACCTCTGTTTATTTAGAACTAAACAGGCTGTTTTCGTTACTGTGCTTATAACACTGATATATGTAATGGCCTGCAGGCTGCTGCATATATGTAAACAAGCTGTTTTTTGTGACATCACAAAACCAACGAATTCAAAATGGATTGTTTTTGCAGCTTAGTATATATGGGCCGTATGGACTGTAGAGTGAATGGTACATTTTGAAACATTAACAATCTTTGCACAATACATGAAATGTATTTATTTAACCCCTTAACAAGCCATGGGCCCGCCGGCAGACCCAAAGTATTATTACACACTTCTATAACCTATGATAAGCTCCATTATTTTGCATTGAAGTCCCTGTAGTTACTGACTAATAAGCCTTTTTATTCATAAACCGGGTGGAATTCTGTGACATGGGATCTTTAATATTTAGTCACTACGAATATGTAGCACATATATAAATGAGCTGGTTCATCACATACATTTAATCTGGGCAGTTTTTCAGTTGTTTCTATATATGGACTCAATGTACTGCATAGTGGTAGTTCTTTAAATGTTGACACTGCCTAAATTTTGACTTACAAAAAATTGGGTTTCATTTAAAATATCACAACTCAAATAACACAATTATTGTCAAAAGAACATCTTTTACTCGTGGAAATTATGTAAATTCAAAGCATTAGTGTAGAATACAAAATAAGACAATAGAAGCTAAACAAGAAACTAGGGGTGGGTGATACAGCATATATGCAGAAAGTGTGGGGGGGTGATACAGCTTATAAATATGCTGAAATATGCATATTAATATGCGTTAATCGTCAAAAAATTTTACGATACACAATATGTAACAGAAAAAGGGCCAGCACTGCCACATTTCATAAAACACTACAGAAACTATGAATGATTTGCATTCAGCATGTAAGTACTGACGATATTCATAACATGCTCAAAAAAGCATATCGTGGCATATGATAATTTATCACAATAATGACAAATATCATCATATTAACCACCCCTATATTTACTTTTGAAATGAAGTGTTGTTTCTGTATGCACAACGACCCATTTTATGTGTCTATGCATAGTAAACATGCACAGCATGGTTCAGTTGTTTCCTTCCATGCATTACTTTAAATATAGAGTACAGCCTCCAGAGAAGCCATGTAGACCTAAAGACCCACATTAGCATGTGACAACGCTGACAACGTGACCAAAACACACTACAGCATGAGGCTCTTCCCTCCTGCGCAGTGGATTACACTCCTCTTGTAGGCATATTGTACTGGAGCTGACAGTTAACCCAGAGCTTGGGTCATTTAAACTTCTGCTCCACTGCACGTCTCCCCAGTGTATTAAAAAGGAGGGAAAAAAGATTCTCAGTCTGAACTCCATAGCATAATGCTTCATATTTATTGGGAGAGATGTGGGTTATGACAGGTGAAATGGAACCGCACTGGAAACAAACTCATCTTTGTACTGGACTATAACTGAATGCCTTTGTGACTCTGAAATTTAACATAGTTTAGAATACCTGCCAGAAAAGATACTGAATATGAGTATCTGCATGTAGACAATGCCATTTGGTTATTAATTAAATCCCAATGATGGGAAACCTGACAGTTACTGTCAGTCCAAGAAGAAATCAGAGTATAATTACTTTTTAAGCCTGCTGCTTTCTGCCATGTATCTAAGCCTTATTTGAATTTCTACTCTGATAATGTGTGTATTTAAACATATACATATACATACTGAAAATATCTGCATCTGTTTGGGAAAAATGTCCAAAAACTAATAAATAGTGAATAAATCATTCTAGAGGGAGAATTTGTGTAAAGAAACTGTGTTAGCTGTGAGTGACAGATTAAACCACAAACGCAGGGATAAATCCATCTCAATCTGCCAATGCTGTCTTGGGATTGAATGCTAAGACAACACAACAGCATTTCAGCAGCTGTTCAGGCAAGAAAAACTTCACAATTTATGACAGCAGTTAGTGACTTATATGGACAGTCTGATGAAATTGATTTGTTTTAACCCCTTAAAGAGAAATTACAACATTTTTCCCCAACCTTCTGCATATTCCTGCATGGTTTAATATCAAACGGTTCATTGTAGAGAAACATACTCAGATTTATTTACAGTGATGGTGACAGGAACCGGGGTCACAATGTCTACAACGCAAATATACCCATTTTATTTATATCCAAAATGATATGTTTCTATGTCATATTGATAATGGTAAAATAATAAGTTTTCTTTTAGGCTCCTATTTTGTGCCACAACACTCTGCATGTTCCTCTCCACAGTGAATATGTTTCAGGTCTAAACTTCATCTCAGATATCAGGTAACATGTAATAACTTTTTGTGAGGCAGCTTTTAGAGTTAATAAATGCCTTGGACATCTGGTTCCTATCACCACCACTGTGAACAATTCTGACTTGTTAACAACTCTAGGTCTATTATTCAGTCATTAAAGCCCATATTATTCAGTCAGGTTAAGAAGTATTATTCATTAACCACGTCTAAGCTAAAAAAAGGCATGTATTTACAACAGTGAGCAAGTCTGGAATCACTCACAGTTCCTT